TGTAACACCAACACTCGGGTGTTTGTAACACCAACACTCGGGTGTTTGTAACACCAACACTCGGGTGTTTGTAACACCAACACTCGGTGTTTGTACAACACTCAAACACTCGGGTGTTTGTAACACCACACTCGGGTGTTTGTAACACCAGCACTCGGGTGTTTGTAACACCAACACTCGGGTGTTTGTAACACCAACACTCGGGTGTTTGTAACACCAACACTCGGGTGTTTGTAACACCAACACTCGGGTGTTTGTAACACCAACACTCGGGTGTTTGTAACACCAGCACTCGGGTGTTTGTAACACCAACACTCGGGTGTTTGTAACACCAACACTCGGGTGTTTGTAACACCAACACTCGGGTGTTTGTAACACCAACACTCGGGTGTTTGTAACACCAACACTCGGGTGTTTGTAGCACCAACACTCGGGTGTTTGTAGCACCAACACTCGGGTGTTTGTAACACCAACACTCGGGTGTTTGTAACACCAACACTCGGGTGTTTGTAACACCAACACTCGGGTGTTTGTAACACCAGCACTCGGGTGTTTGTAACACCAACACTCGGGTGTTTGTAACACCAACACTCGGGTGTTTGTAACACAACACTCGGGTGTTTGTAACACCAACACTCGGGTGTTTGTAACACCAACACTCGGGTGTTTGTAACACCAACACTCGGGTGTTTGTAACACCAACACTCGGGTGTTTGTAGCACCAACACTCGGGTGTTTGTAGCACCAACACTCGGGTGTTTGTAACACCAACACTCGGGTGTTTGTAACACCAACACTCGAGTGTTTGTAACACCAACACTCGGTTGTTTGTAACACCAACACTCGGGTGTTTGTAAAACCAAGACTCGGGTGTTTGTAACACCAACACCCGGGTGTTTGTAACACCAACACCCGGGTGTTTGTAACACCAACACCCGGGTGTTTGTAACACCAACACTCGGGTGTTTGTAACACCAACACTCGGGTGTTTGTAACGCCAACACTCGGGTGTTTGTAACACAAACACCCGGGTTTTGTAATAGCAACACCCGGGAGTTTGTAATAGCAACACCCAGGTGTTTGTAATAGCAACACCCGGGTGTTTGTAATAGCAACACCCGGGTGTTTGTAATAGCAACACCCGGGTGTTCGTAATAGCAACACCCGGGTGTTTGTAATAGCAACACCCGGGTGTTTGTAATAGCAACACCCGGGTGTTTGTAATAGCAACACTCGGGTGTTTGTAATAGCAACACTCGGGTGTTTGTAATAGTAATACCCGTGAGTTTGTAACACCAACACCCGGGTATTTGTAACAGCAACACCCGGGTGTTTGTAACAGCAACACCCGGGTGTTTGTAATAGCAACACCCGGGTGTCTGTAATAGCAACACCGGAGTGTCTGTAATAGCAACACCTGGGTGTTTGCAATAGCAACACCCGAGTGTCTGTAACAGCAACACTCGGGTGTTTGTAACAACAACACCCGGGTGTTTGAAACAGCAACACCTGGGTGTCTGTAATAGCAATACCCAGGTGTTTGTAACAGCAACACCCGGGTGTTTGTAATAACAACACCCGGGTGTTTGTAATAACACCCGGGTGTCTGTAACAGCAACACCCGGGTGTCTGTAATAGCAACACCCGGGTGTCTGTAACAGCAACACCCGGGTGTTTGTAATAGCAACACCCGAGTGTTTGTAATAGCAACACCCGGGTGTCTGTAACAAACACACGGGTGTCTGTAACAGCAACACCCAGTGTCTGTAATAGCAACACCCGGGTGTCTGTAACAGCAACACCCGGGTGTTTGTAATAGCAACACCCGAGTGTTTGTAATAGCAACACCCGGGTGTCTGTAATAGCAACACCCCAGTGTCTGTAACAGCAACACCCGGGTGTTTGTAATAGCAACACCCGAGTGTTTGTAATAGCAACACCCGGGTGTTTGTAACAGCAACACCCGGATATCTGTAACAGCAACACCCGAGTGTCTGTAATAGCAACACCCGAGTGTCTGTAATAGCAACACCCGAGTGTCTGTAATAGCAACACCCGAGTGTCTGTAATAGCAACACCCGAGTGTCTGTAATAGCAACACCCGAGTGTCTGTAATAGCAACACCCGAGTGTCTGTAACAGCAACACCCGGGTGTTTGTAACAATCACCTGGGTGTCTAATAGCAACACCCGGGCGTTTGTAATAGCAACACCCGAGTGTCTGTAACAGCAACACCCGGGTGTTTGTAATAGCAACGCCCGAGTGTCTGTAACAGCAACACCCGAGTGTCTGTAATAGCAACACCCATGTGTTTGTAACAGCAGCACCCGGGTGTCTGTAATAGCAACACCGGAGTGTCTGTAACAGCAACACCCGGGTGTAATAGCAACACCCGGGTGTTTGTAATAGCAACACCCGGGTGTTTGTAATAGCAACACCCGGGTGTCTGTAATAGCAACACCCGAGTGTCAGTAATAGCAACACCCGAGTGTCTGTAATAGCAACACCCGAGTGTAATAGCAACACCCGAGTGTCTGTAACAGCAACACCCGAGTGTCTGTAACAGCAACACCGGGTGTCTGTAACAGCAACACTCGGGTGTTTGAAACAGCAACACCTGGGTGTGTGTAATAGCAATACCCGGGTGTTTGTAACAGCAACACCCGGGTGTTTGTAATAACAACACCCGGGTGTCTGTAACAGCAACACCCGGGTGTCTGTAACAGCAACACCCGAGTGTCTGCAACAGCAACACCCGAGTGTCTGTAACAGCAACACCCGGGTGTTTGTAATAGCAACACCCGAGTGTTTGTAATAGCAACACCCGGGTGTCTTTAATAGCAACACCCGGGTATCTGTAACAGCAACACCCGAGTGTCTGTAATAGCAACACCCGAGTGTCTGTAATAGCAACACCCGAGTGTCTGTAATAGCAACACCCGAGTGTCTAATAGCAACACCCGAGTGTCTGTAATAGTAACACCCGAGTGTCTGTAATAGCAACACCCGAGTGTCTGTAATAGCAACACCCGAGTGTCTGTAATAGCAACACCCGGGTGTCTGTAACAGCAACACCCGGGTGTTTGTAACAGAAACACCTGGGTGTCTGTAATAGCAATACCCGGGTGTTTGTAACAGTAACACCCGGGTGTTTGTAATAGCAACACCCGAGTGTCTGTAACAGCAACACCCGGGTGTTTGTAATAGCAACGCCCGAGTGTCTGTAATAGCAACACCCGGGTGTCTGTAACAGGAACACCCACGTGTCTGTAATAGCAACACCCGAGTGTCTGTAATAGCAACACCCGGGTGTCTATAACAGCAACACCCGGGTGTTTGTAATAGCAACACCCGGGTGTTTGTAACAGCAACACCCGGGTGTTTGTAATAGCAACACCCGGGTGTTTGTAATAGCAACACCCGGGTGTTTGTAATAGCAACACCCGGGTGTTTGTAATAGCAACACCCGGGTGTTTGTAATAGCAACACCCGGGTGTTTGTAATAGCAACACCCGGGTGTTTGTAATAGCAACACCCGGGTGTTTGTAATAGCAGCACCCGTCTGTAATAGCAACACCCGGGTGTAATAGCAACACCCGGGTGTCTGTAATAACAACACCGGGGTTTTTGTAATAGCAACACCCGAGTGTCTGTAATAGCAACACCCGAGTGTCTGTAATAGCAACACCCGGGTATCTGTAACGGCAACACCCGGGAGTCTGTAACAGCAACACCCGGGTGTTTGCAACAGAAACACCTGGGTGTCTGTAATAGCAATACCCGGGTGTTTGTAACAGCAACACCCGGGTGTTTGTAATAGCAACACCCGAGTGTCTGTAACAGCAACACCCGGGTGTTTGTAATAGCAACACCCGGGTGTCTGTAACAGCAACACCCGAGTGTCTGTAACAGCAACACCCGAGTGTCTGTAATAGCAACACTCGGGTGTCTGTAACAGCAACACCCAGGTGTCTGTAATAGCAACACCCGAGTGTCTGTAACCGCAACACCCGGGTGTCTGTAATAGCAACACCGGGGTTTTTGTAACAGCAACACCCGAGTGTCTGTAATAGCAACACCCGAGTGTCTGTAACAGCAACACCGGGGTTTTGAAATAGCAACACCCGGGTGTCTGTAACAGCAACACCCGGGTGTTTGTAACAGCAACACCCAGGTGTCTGTAACAGCAACACCCAGGTGTCTGTAACAGCAACACCCGGGTGACTGTAATAGCAACACCGGGGTTTTGTAATAGCAACACCCTGGTGTCTGTAACAGCAACACCCGGGTGTCTGTAATAGCAACACCCGGGTGTTTGTAACAACACCTAGGTGTCTGTAACAGCAACACCCAGGTGTCTGTAACAGCAACACCCGGGTGTTTGTAAGAACACCTAGGTGTCTGTAACAGCAACACCCATGTGTCTGTAATAGCAACACCCGGGTGTTTGTAACACCTAGGTGTCTGTAACAGCAACACCCAGGTGTCTAACAGTAACACCCAGGTGTCTGTAATAGCAACACCCGGGTGTCATATGTGCCTTAGTTATGTCCTAGCATGTGGTATTTACCTAGCTTGTAGTACTTCCGTAGATGGTGGTACTTACTTAGCTTGTTGTACTTCCGTAGATGGTGGTACTTACCTAGCTTTTAGTGCTTCCATAGATGGTGGTAATTACCTAGCTTGTAGTACTTCCGTAGATGGTGGTACTTACCTAGCTTGTAGTACTTCCATAGATGGTGGTACTTACCTAGCTTTTAGTGCTTCCATAGATGGTGGTAATTACCTAGCTTGTAGTACTTCCGTAGATGGTGGTACTTACCTAGCTTGTAGTACTTCCATAGATGGTGGTACTTACCTAGCTTGTAGTACTTCCATAGATGGTGGTACTTACCTAGCTTGTAGTACTTCCCTAGATGGTGGTACTTACCTAGCTTGTAGTACTTCCATAGATGGTGGTACTTACCTAGCTTGTAGCACTTCCCTAGATGGGCACTTACCTCTCAAGGCTGACGGCAGTAAGGTTGAGCACACTGGCGGTGAAAGAGAGCATCATAAAATAGTTAGCTATCTTGCAGGCGGCGCCGCCAGAGTCCCAGAGGACCACGAAGAAGTGAACAATCTTGAGGGGAACACACAGCAGCAACATCAACAAGTCCGCCACGGAGAGTGACACCAGGAACATGTTGGTGGTGTTCCGTGCCTTGCGGTCACCTGTTGCACCAGAAGACAAGGAACAAGTTGTTAGTGTCTGCTGCTGGTGGTGGTAGTTGTTAGTGTGTGCTGGTGGTGGTGGTGATAGTTATTAGTGTCTGCTGGTGGTGGTGATGATAGTTATTAGTGTCTGCTGGTGGTGGTAGTTGTTAGTGTCTGCTGGTGGTGGTGGTGGTAGTTGTTAGTGTCTGCTGGTGGTGGTGGTGGTAGTTGTTAGTGTCTGCTGGTGGTGGTGGTGATAGTTATTAGTGTCTGCTGGTGGTGGTGGTGATAGTTATTAGTGTCTGCTGGTGGTAGTAGTTGTTAGTGTCTGCTAGAGGTGGTGGTGGTAGTTGTTAGTGTCTGCTAGTGGTGGTGGTGGTGGTAGTCTTTAGCGTCTGGTGGTGGGTGGTAGCTGTTAGTGTCTGCTGGTGGTGGTGGTGATAGTTATTAGTGTCTGCTGGTGGTGGTGGTGATAGTTATTAGTGTCTGCTGGTGGTGGTGGTAGTTAGTGTCTGGTGGTGGTGGTGGAGTGTCTGGTGGTGGAGTGTCTGCTGGTGGTGGTGGTGGTAGTTATTAGTGTCTGCTGGTGGTGGTGGTGATAGTTATTAGTGTCTGCTGGTGGTGGTGGTAGTTAGTGTCTGGTGGTGGTGGTGGAGTGTGTGGAGGTGGAGTGTCTGCTGGTGGTGGTGGTGGTAGTTGTTAGTGTCTGCTGGTGGTGGTGGTAGTTGTTAGTGTCTGGTGGTGGTGGTGGTAGTTGTTAGTGTCTGGTGGTGGTGGTGGTAGTTGTTAGTGTCTGGTGGTAATGGTGGCAGTTGTCACTACTTATACCGTTTCATTACCATCATAACTGCTACCGTTTGTTACTGTTATCAACGCTACTGGTGTTACTGTTATTACTGCTACTGTTAACAAAATTATCATAAAACAGTGAAGGAAGGGAGGCGTTTCCTTGCAATATTCTCAAGTGTTACAGAAGGTAATTAAGATATTAAAAGTATTACGCGAGTAATAAAAAGATATTAAAAATGTTACGGGGGGAAATAAAAATATTTATAAAGTGTTACAGAAGGTAATAAAGATAAATATTACTGGGGGTAACAAAGTTATTTTAAAAGTGTTACGGGGGAGGGATGATGGAGGAAATAAAGATATCTGCAAGGGGAATAAAAATATGCTGAAGTGCTTCAGGGTATTGAACACATGTTAGTGTTGCAACGTCAAGATATTATCAGTGTTACATTAATAATAATAAAGTAAGGTTACTAGGGTAAGTTGGCATCTCTATATATTTCCCGCTAGTGTATAACCATCTAAGCAGTTTGTGACAGAACCTACAAGGGGTAATAACCTGCTTGACTTAGTTATGGCAAACAATGAATCCCTTGTTAATAATTTAGAAGTTTCAGAGGAACTGGGTGCTAGTGACCACAAATCAATTACATTTAGCATTGAATGGAAGTACGATAGTAGCGATAACTCAGTAACAGTCCCAGATTTTCGCTTAGCAGATTACGATGGGCTTAGAGAACACTTATCATCTGTTGACTGGGGTAACGAAGAGAGCTATCAATATGACAGTTTTCTGAACACTATACATGCTGCTCAAAGAACGTTTATCCCATATAAAGAAATTAGATCAAATAGAAATGACCCAAAATGGATGAATAATAGGCTGAAATATCTACTAGGGCATAAGAAAGGAATTTATAGGCGTATCAAAAGAGGTGAGGGTCATCTTATGAATCAGTATATTGACATTAAGAGGGACATTAAAAAGGGGATAAGAAAAGCTAAAAGGGATTATGAAATTAAAGTTGCTAGGGATTCTAAAACTAACCCAAAAAAGTTTTTTCCAGGTCTATAGAACAAAAGTTAGAGATAAGATAGGTCCCCTTAAAAATAACTATGGGCACCTTACTGACAAAGAGAATGAAATGTGCTCGATTTTTAATAATTTTCTCTCAGTTTTTACACAGGAAGACACTAACAATATTCCAGTAATTAATTTTTATAGTGGGCTAGAAGATAAATTATGTAACATCACAGTCACTAGTGAAATGGTTGTGAAGCAGATAGACTGAAGCAAAATAAGTCGCCGGGTCCTGATGAGGTTTTTTCAAGGGTTCTTAAGGAATGCAAAATGGAACTCTGTGAACCATTAACTAATATTTTTAATTTATCTCTTCAAACAGGTGTAGTGTCTGATATGTGGAAGATGGCTAATGTAATTTCTATTTTTAAAACAGGGGACAAGTCGTTACCGTCAAATTACCGCCCAATAAGCCTGACCTCAATTGTAAGCAAATTACTAGAGTCAATTATAGCTGAGATTTATAAGAAGCCATCTCGATAACCATAGCTTGATTAATGATACTCAGCATGGATTCACAAGAGGCCGGTCTTGTCTAACTAATTTATTAACTTTCTTCAGTAAAGCTTTTGAGGCTGTTGACCACGATAAAGAATTTGATATTATTTACTTAGATTTTAGTAAGGCTTTTGATAGAGTTCCGCACCATAGACTGTTAAAGAAAGTGGCAGCTCATGGCATTGGGGGAAAAGTGCTCTCGTGGATCGAGTCATGGCTCACTGACAGGAAGCAGAAAGTGTCCATAAATGGGGTTAAATCCGAGTGGGAATCTGTAACAAGTGGCGTTCCACAGGGATCAGTCTTGGGCCCCTTGTTGTTTATAATATATATCAATGATCTTGATGAGGGAATTACTAGTGATATGAGCAAATTCGCCGATGACGCAAAGATAGGTAGGATAATTGATTCAAACGTAGATGTTATGGAACTTCAGGAGGATTTAAACAAACTCTATTCTTGGTCAGAAAAGTGGCAGATGCAGTTCAATGTAGATAAATGCAAGGTCCTGAAGCTTGGGAGTGCCCATAACCCTAGTACTTATAAGTTAAATGATGTAGAACTTAGCCATACAGATTGCGAAAAGGACCTGGGGGTTATGGTGAGCAGCAACCTTAAACCAAGACAGCAATGCCTAAGCGTACGTAATAAGGCAAATAGATTACTGGGATTTATATCAAGAAGTGTAAGCAACAGAAGTCCAGAGGTCATACTGCAGCTTTATACATCATTAGTAAGGCCTCACCTAGATTATGCAGCTCAGTTCTGGTCTCCATATTACAGAATGGACATAAATTCGTTAGAAAACATTCAGCGTAGGATGACTAAATTAATACATAACATTAGAAATCTTCCTTATGAAGAAAGATTGAAGACTCTTAAGTTACATTCACTTGTTAGACGAAGAATGAGGGAAGACCTGATCGAAGTGTATAAGTGGAAGATAGGTATTAATAAAGGGAATATTAATAAGGTCTTGAGGATGTCTCTCCAAGAGAGAACCCGCAGTAATGGATTTAAATTAGATAAGTTTAGATTTAGAAAGGACATAGGTGGGGTTGTAAGAGAAGTAAATGCGAGGGTCTTGGCAAGAGGCGTGGAGTTAAAAGATAAAGAATCACACACAAAGTGGGAGTTGTCACAGCTGCTCTTTGCTGATGACACTGTGCTCTTGGGAGATTCTGAAGAGAAGTTGCAGAGATTGGTGGATGAATTTGGGTGTGCAAAAGAAGAAAATTAAAGGTGAATACAGGAAAGAGTAAGGTTATGAGGATAACAAAAAGATTAGGTGATGAAAGATTGAATATCAGATTGGAGGGAGATAGTATGGAGGAGGTGAATGTATTCAGATATTTGGGAGTGGACGTGTCAGCGGATGGGTCTATGAAAGATGAGGTGAATCATAGAATTGATGAGGGGAAAAGAGTGAGTGGTGCACTTAGGAGTCTGTGGAGACAAAGAAAACTTTGTCCTTGGAGGCAAAGAGGGGAATGTATGAGAGTATATTTTTACCAACGCTCTTATATGGGTGTGAAGCATGGGTGATGAATGTTGCAGCGAGGAGAAGGCTGGAGGCAGTGGAGATGTCATGTCTGAGGGCAATGTGTGGTGTGAATATAATGCAGAGAATTCGTAGTTTGGAAGTTAGGAGGAGGTGCGGGATTACCAAAACTGTTGTCCAGAGGGCTGAGGAAGGGTTGTTGAGGTGGTTCGGACATGTAGAGAGAATGGAGCGAAACAGAATGACTTCAAGAGTGTATCAGTCTGTAGTGGAAGGAAGGCGGGGTAGGGGTCGGCCTAGGAAAGGTTGGAGAGAGGGGGTGAAGGAGGTTTTGTGTGCGAGGGGCTTGGACTTCCAGCAGGCATGCGTGAGCGTGTTTGATAGGAGTGAATGGAGACAAATGGTTTTTAATACTTGACGTGCTGTTGGAGTGTGAGCAAAGTAACATTTATGAAGGGGTTAAAGGAAACCGGCAGGCCGGACTTGAGTCCTGGAGATGGGAAGTACAGTGCCTGCACTCTGAAGGAGGGGTGTTAATGTTGCAGTTTAAAAACTGTAGTGTAAAGCACCCTTCTGGCAAGACAGTGATGGAGTGAATGATGGTGAAAGTTTTTCTTTTTCGGGCCACCCTGCCTTGGTGGGAATCGGCCAGTGTGATAATAAAAAATAATAATAATAGGAAAGTATTGGTTTGGAAATAGGGTAGTAGATGAGTGGAACAGTCTACCTAGTTGGGTTATTGAGGCTGGGACTTTGGGTAGTTTCAAATTTAGGTTGGATAAGTAAATGAGTGGGAGGGGTTGGATTTGAGTGGGACTTTCACATCAGAACTTATTTCTTGGGTGGCATTGAAAATTGGGTTTGGCAAATGTTTTGTTAGTGGGATGAATTGTAAAGGACCTGCCTAGTATGGACCAACAGGCCTCCTGCAGTGTTCCTCCTTTCTTATGTTCTTATGCTAGTAACTAGGATGTTGCTAGTGCTTCACGTTCACTAGACGGAGGTTCGAACCTCCACTGCTGTACGTTCAACGACCCGCATGGGCTCAGAGCTCCATCTCTGTTACATAACATATAAACATCTAACCTTTTCAAGCAACCAAAAAAAAAAGGTCTTAGAGAAATGACATTTCAGGAAGGTGAATTTTGA